CTAACCTCAGACCAGTTCCCTTGCGAAGGCCCCCACAACCAAATTATGATTCCTTTTCTCAAGTAAATGCCTTTCCTGATTATAAGACATGGATTATTTCTCAGTTGACCACTGAGGACAACGTTGGAACTGGAACACTGAAGGGAGTGAGCTGGTAAGACAGGAAGTGCTGATCAGAGTGGGATGCGTGAATTGGGATTATGTTATGACCAGTGGAGAGAGTGGCAGTGGCAGGGTGGAAGGCAAGATCACTGGTGTAGAGGAGGTCCAGGAAAGGGAGGTCAGGGTGCTTGAGGATCCTCCTGAGAATACTGAAATCATGCAAGAATCAGGATGGAAGATATGTTGGAGAAAGTGACAATAAACTAGAAGCAAAATTTTTTCAAAAAGCGAGGGAGAGCAGAGCAGGAATCAGCAGGCAACTGTAACAGGCAGAGGTAGGAGATGGCATATTGAGCAAATGTGAGCTGTAAACCTAGATGTTTTTAGGAAGAATGAAGGAATGAGCCCAAAATAGCAGAGGGCCTAGAGGTAAAAGATTTCAAGAATGAAAATAGCCACCACTCCCTCACCAGGGCATCAGGTCTGGTAACCTTGAGAAGCAAAAAGAACTTTACAAAAGAGATCGAAGATATAAAGGAAACCACAGTGTCAGATGGAAACTTCTGATCTTGGCACACATGTTTCACATGTGGCAAAAATAAAAGTGGGTTTTGCACAAATACAAGAAAGAGGGAGAGAGGAAGGAGAAAGTTATACAGGTGACAAGAAGCATATGAAGAGATGCTGCATATCATATGTTAGCAGGGAAATGCAAATTAAAAACATCAGGGTATCAGCACACACCTATTAGAATGTCTAAAATCTAAAACACTGGCAGCAGCAAATTTGGATGAGGACATGGAGCAACAGAAACATTCATTCATTCATTCATTGCTGGTGGGAATGCAAAATAGTACAGCCACTTTGGAAGACAGTTTGGCAGCTTCTTATAAAATGAAACATACTCTGACCGTAAAATCCAGCAAAGTTCCTTGGTATTTATGCAAATAGTTGAAAATTTATATCCATACAAAAAGCAGTACACAAATATTGACAGCATTTTATACATAACTGCCAACATTTGAAAGCAACCGAGATGTCCTCTCCTCAATAGACAAATGGACAACAGACCATGTGGTTGAATCTCCGTGCCACCCTCCCCATTTACAAGGTGAAGTCCAAACCGATGTGACTGCATCCAAAGATACGGTGGTCTTTAGGAGGTAATCAAGGTTAAATGAAGTTGGGCCTCCCCGGTGGCGCAGAGGTTGAGCGCTGGGTTGCGAAGCTGCCCGCAGCCTCTGCAGCCGGTTTGAGGTTCGATCACCAGCTGCAGGGCGAGGGTCCCACATGGCGCGCAGACCTCTCCCGCCGCCCACTGCTCTGCTCAACAGTGTACTTTGTCACTCTGCCTGTTCTACTCTCTGCTCTGGCTCTGGTGAATTCTCTCACCCTCCCGTGCTTCTGACTGTACCCTGTGCTTGTATAAATAAATACATAAATTAAAAAAAAGGTTAAATGAAGTTATAAGAGTGGGGATTGAATGTGATAAGACTACAGCCTTGTAAGAAGAGTAAGAGATCTCTTTCTCTTCCTTTTCCTCTGCCTCTCCCTTTCTCTTTGTGCCCTGCTGCCTTATGAGGACAGGGCAAGAGGTGACCATCTGTAAGCCAGACAGAGAGTCCTCACCAGAACTCAACCATACTAACACCAGATTTCAGTCTTCCAGTTCAGAATTATCAGAAAATAAATGTCTGATGTTTGAATACCCAGTGTACGGTATTTTGTTAAGGGGGCCAGAGAATAACACACTGGGATACATCATACGATAAGATATTTTTCAGCCCTAAAAAGAATGAGCTATCAAGTCATGACAAGACAGAGGGATCTTAAGTGCACATTGCTGAGAGAAAGAAGCCAATGTGAAGATGTTATATGTCATATAATTCCAACTACATGACATTCTACAAAAGGCAAAACTAGGGACACAGTGAAAACATTAGTGGTTGCTGGGCGCTTAGGAGGCAGAAGGGGGATGTAGGGTAGTGAAACTATTTTATATGATACTGTAATGGATGATACATTACATTAAGCATTTGTCAAAATCCATAAAAATGTACAATACAGGGCCTCCCTGGTGGCCTAGGGGTTAATTTAGTCTCACTGCTATCACCACTTAGGCCTAAGTTCGATCCCAGACAGGGAGCTAACCCACATATGGCGCAGCAGACCTCTCCTGTATCGCCTCTTGCTCCCCTTAGCTCTGCTCCTACTTTGCTTCTCGTGAATCCTCTCACCCTCACCTTTGTACCTCTGTCCTATACCCCAGCTCTTCTACACAAAAATAAATAAAATCTTAAAAAAAAAAAAGTACAACACAAAGTAACTGTAATGTAAACTGTGGACTTTAGTTAGTCATCATGATTCCATTGTAAAAAATGTACTACAATGATGCAAGATGCTAACAATAGGAGAAATCAGATAGGGGTGGTGTACATAGAACTCAATGTATGCTCAATTATTCTGTAAAATATGCTCGAATAATATGCTCAAGTATTCAGTAAATCTAAAACTACTAAAATTAAACCTCATAAGCATGAAAAATAATACATAAAATTCAAATTCCAGTGTCCATAAGTAAACTTGTACTGGAACACAGTCAAACTCAAACTTATTTACATGCCCAGTTTACACTGTCTATTGCTGCCTTTGCACTATAAGGCAGAGTTAAATAGTTTCAATATAGACCACATGATCACAAAACTTAAAATGTTTACTCTCTGAAGTACTACAGAAAGTATTTTCATACCTCTCCTGTAGAGGTCTGTAAATCTGGGAAATGTACATTATATCACAGGCTGTTCTGAGCCAAGCACTTCATTTAAATTACTCAAACTTGGGGCCTCCTTGGTGGTGCAAGGGATTAAAGCACCACACTATGAAGCAATCCGCAGCCTCAGTGGCATGAGTTCCATCCCCAGGGGGCCAGGGAGCAACCCACATGGCGTAGTAGACCTCTCCTGACTGGCCCGCTGCTCCCCTTAGCAGTGTATTTCACTCAGTCTGCCTGTTCTGCTCCCCACTCTGTCTCTGGTGAATCCTCTCACTCCCCCACATCTCTGGCCTGTACCCCAGCTCTTGTATGCATAAATAAATAAATCTTTTAAAAGAAATTAAATTACTCAAACTTGATAAGAGTCACAAGAAGTACTCCTACAATTGAAAGTAACCAAATGTATGGTTACATATGTAACATCATCATCATAATAAGTAATTACATAATCTGATTACAATTTCACCAACTAGCTTCTAAAATTAAAAAAAAATAAAATAAAATCAGTGATGTACTAGCACACCCAAAATGGCAACTCCCAGAGAAAGAATCCATATTCTAAAGCGAAATGTGTGCAGACAGTCGGGTTTCACTGCAGTGCCTGCAAAATCAGTCCTACTTTAAACACCTAAGGAATCAGAACTCAAATGTTCAACTAAGAGAAGATTGTTAACAGTCTGAAAAGGGAAGTCTGAAAAACAATGGTACATGGACACATTCAGAAAGGGGGCAGGACAGGACACATGAGTTGAGTCTTGTGCACAGATCATAAAGACGTGAATGAGCCCTAAATAACATTAAACTAGGAGTCAAATGGCTATTTAGATTAGGCAGGAAAATGCAGCCTGGGCATCAAACAGAATATATCAATACTATCAGAAGTGCCCCACAGCTATAGTTTAAAAATTATCCTGAAAATGTAATGGTTGACTACCTAGGAAACAAAGCGTAACTACCCCATATACTGAAACAGTTTCGTTAATGACAGGGGTTTGGGGAAGAATCCAAATCTGTGGAAATAATCTAGAAATGCATTATAGAACAGTGACTAAGAGCATGGGCTTTGGAGGCAGACAAACCTGGTTCTGCTTCTGCCACTAACTAGCTACAGTAGAGTGCTAAATAAATGGTATCTGTTACTATATTTAGCAACAATAGTAATGCTCTTATTACTATATTTGGCTTAGGGAAATAAACCTGGTAGAAGCAAAAGCTTCCCCCAACAACTCATAGAAAATCTACCCAAGGAGTAACATAAATCTTAACAATATGCAATGATAGAGAAGCTCTGCCCTTGGAAATCAAATGACGACTTCAATTCAAAAAGAGTTGAGATTATACTCTTGCTAGTCAGATAACATCCAGGGTGTAAAGATGAAGAGCAGTCTGGGTTCTCCTCAGCTGGTGAATTTGGCCCACTCAGGCACTCACTCAATGCCAAATTCACTCCGGGGCCCAAGAACTGTATTAGTATTACGTCTCACAACCATGAGGGTACGAGTAAAGGGGTACCTCTAAACACTTAGATGGCTAAGCTTCTCCAGTCTCATTCCTACTACATTCCATTCCCCACCACCATAAAACCAGACAAAATATCCGAAACCAGAAAATGTAGAGCTGTCTCTAGACAGCAATGAGGATCACATCGTTTTATAAATGTTAGATCTAGGTAATCAGGGACCCGATGTCAGGGGTGCTTTGGTTTTCTGCCTCGACCAAAAGCAGAAGCCGCGAGATGAGGGCTTGTATATGTTTTCGTTCTCTCCTACACACACAAACACACTCCAAGGCAATCACGGCCCACCATCCACACTCTGATAAAACAGCTCGCAGCGATGGTGGTGATCACAGCCATTCTACTTCACGACGCCGTTTTCGCCCCACCTTGGGACTTTCCCAAGGGGAACAGTGAAAATCGACAGTAATTGCGATCGGGCAACACAGGACGCTCGTAGGTGCCGGAGCAGAAGCCGACTGGTCGAGCGAGGCGATCCCAGGACCCGGAGCGGAAGCAGCCAGTGGCCTCGCTCCCCGGGCAGGGCTCGCCCCCACCTGTCACCGCCGGCGGGTGGGAGGAGGGAGAGAGAAACCCAGGACCCCGGAGCCATTCTCAGATCCCACTCACCCCATTCTTCATCCGGCCGGTGGAGGAGTCCCGGACTGAAGGGGGACTCCATGGTGCCGGCAACGCCAGCCGGCCCCCAAAACACACGTTCCCGACACTGGAACTCTGATGACTGATCTCCAAGACGGCGGCGGCCGGTGGACAAAATTCCTGAAACGCGAAGGGGACGGTGGCGGAAAGGAGACAAACTACTTCGACGGTGGGTGGGGTTTGCGTTCGCCAGGAAAGGAGAGACGTCAAAGAGCGAGCAGAGGTCTGATCAAATAGTTCCCTTTTGGAGTTTTCGGCACTTTCTGTCCCACTGTTTTAAGAGAAAAAAAATAAACACCGCTTCGGTTAAGTAAATTGTATTGATAATACTGAAAAGAAAACACCTTTCTGAATATGTTGGCTTGTTTCCTGAATATCCTTCTTCATACCACTGTGGAGATATCTTAAAGTTTGGAGGCTCATAAAGTAAATTTGGTTTAATGTTTACGAATAATTCGCTATCAAAGTAAAAATTCTCCACCTACCCGGGTGTGTGAAAGAAAAGTAACTGTTTTTTTCACCTTTGTCAGAACTGCCCCTTGACCGGCATGTTAGGGGGAATAAGCGATCCTAATAGAAAATCAATTTTCATATAAGCGAAGTAAATGTAAAAGGTGAGTTCCCGTTTTATAAGTTTTCTCCTAACTATGCATTTCTAAAACACAGAACTCAGCAGTAAAATCCAAGCCTGTTGGAAATTCACATTGTTGTAAATTACATGTACATTTCCAATCCTTTCGTGAATAACACTTGAGATTCGATTTTGTTGAGAAGAAATTCACACACATCAAGACCTCCAACTGAAAATTCAAACTGAGTTTGATAAAAACCGTTTCCAAAAACGCTGCTTAATAAAATTTCTTTTTAAAGCATTTCAGCTGTGAGTATTTAAAACCTCCTACCTTAAGAACACGTATCCCTCTAGGACCAAGTGGAATCTTCCCTCTGTTGCTAAACAAAACAATGCTTCCCAGAATCCACAAACTCCTCGTGGCTAGGCGATTACTACAGATTACATAATCCACAATATACAAATAGCCCCGTGAGACTAGTCGAGAACAAATTCATGAAATCCCCTTATATGAAAGGTAATTCTATCATTAGACAGCTAATCAACTGTCACTTAAGGTGTGAAATGTATCACACTTTTATCCTCATCCAAATGCAAATGCAAAAATCGACATAAAGCCTAAAATAAATCCAGTAAGAGACTTGTATACTGTATCTACCTTAGTCTTTTTAAAAATCACATGAACTACTCCCTCAAGATTTCATTTTTCATGTTCAAAACTTTTTTGATTCAAAAAGTGCAGTAATTATGAAAAAAAACATTTGTATACTTATCACCGAGAATAAATATAACATTTTCCGTTGTTTCAGAGCTTTCCTAATATAAGAAATTAAACATTACAGATGAAATTGAATTCTGCTTTTCCCTCTACTTCATTTCCCTTCCTCCATATTGGCAATTTCTACTATGAATTGTATAGGAATTATTCAATACACTTATTTTTACTTTTACATGTTCACGTGTTTAGAGACACAGGTACTTAGCATTGTTTTGGTTTTTTAAATGTACACAAATCGATCATACTGGTGTTCTCAAAATCTTTTTTTTTTTTTTTTATAGAGGCATGCTTTATTTATTTGTTTGCTGGTTTGTTTGTTTGTTTTTTTGTTTATACATGCACTGGGTACAGTGAGAAGCGCGGGAGGGTGAGAGAATTCACCAGAGCCAGAGCGGGGAGCAGAGCAGGCAGAAGGACCGAAGTACACTGCTGAGGGGAGCAGCGGGCGGCAGGAGAGGTCTGCACGCCATGTGGGACCCTCCTCTGGTGGCCGGGGAGCAGCTGGGGATCGAACCGGCGCCGCAGAGGCCGCGGGCAGCTTCGCAACCCAGCGCTCAACCGCTGCGCCACCGGGGAGGCCCCTGTTCTCAAAATCTTAACGTCACTTTTTGATGATCTCTGTTTTAATTGCTATATAGTATTTCCGTGTGTGTTACCACAATTTCTTTTTTAATTTCCCTACTAGTGGATGTTTAGATATTTTGTTGTTACATAATACATATACTTTGTATCGGTCTCTTTGTGTATATATTACAAGAAGGCCTTTAAGATATATACTAGGTTGTAGTGTATTAATATTTGCTGGGTTATACTAATTTACACCCTCACCAGCACTGATGTGTTCTCTTTGCTCCATGTTCTCACCAACACTAGATGTGGGTAGACTTTTACCTTTTTTTTCACTAAGAAGTATGTGACTATAATTTACATTTTCTTTAATTAAAGAGGTGGTGCATCTTTTCACAATTATTGAATCTTATTTCTTCTTCTATGAATTGCCCATTCTTATTTTGCATGAAATTTGTTAACGGGTTGTCTTTCTCTTCGTAATGGTTACATAAATCCTTAGATAGCCCGCTCTAGTCACTTAACAACATATAGGCTGCAAATACCTTCTCCCAGGTTGAGACTTACCTTTATAGGGTTTTTGCCCTCTAGATTTTAATTTCAATGTAGTGAAATTTATCTTTTTGTTTATAATTCCTACTATTTGTAATGTGAAAAGGTTACACCACTGGCATCCTTTTAAAATAGGGTCAGAGGAAGCCACTACAGGAATGCTTTACTGTTATTGGACCAAACCCCTCCACACTCCAAGACAGCAAGAATACCCTGTTTGAATGGACTGCTAAAGTTGACGTTTCCCTACTTTAATTTTGTTTACTCCTCCACCAGAATTTTTTACCTTTTGACTCCTTAGTCTGACCATTAACTTATCATCTATTATCTTGTTCTTTTCCTGAGAACACCCCACATTCACCAAACACACACACACACACACACACATTTTTCCTGCTAGGGACACATTTTGAATTTCCAACCTGGACATGTTGTCCCTGAATCGCAACTCTTTGATCCAAAATAAATATCTTGCCTTTTTAATGACTTCCTGAACGTGTAGATCAAGTGTCTTCTTTAAAGTCCTGTCTGAATTATGTGATTCTAGTACTTTGAACATTCTCTAGGATTTCCTATTATTTGCAAACACTGACATTTTAAAAATTAGCTTAACATTGTGAAGTTTTTGTAAATTAACCTTTGATATGGAAAATTTCAAATAAACACAAAGGACAAGAATCTGTCATTTGTCCTGTAGAACTTCTCACTTTATGATTCTGTTAAATATTCAGGAGGATCTGTTCTTGTAAATTGTCAGTTAAGTCTATAGACTTGACTGGTTTTTTTTCCCCACCCCCACCTTTTTTATTGCAATGGTCAGGACTTTTAGTACAATACTGAACGTAGAGGCTGGAGTGGGCATCTTTTAACTTGCTCACAACCCTGATGATAAAGTTTTGCTATTAAATACGAATTTTTTCATTTTATTCTCGATATTCATCAGGAAATTTACTGATGTATGCAAGCTACCTTCCATGCTTTTCTTTTAAAAAATCATGTTGAATCATTTTTAATTTACTTTTACATTTGTCTAGAGACATGAGTGAGTCCCTTGCCTAACTCCACACTTCAGAGCCTCTACTCTGGCATCTGTCAGTGTCTCCTCTCACAGGGTAAGAATCCATGGTGCCAACATATGCCCAGCCAGAGCACATTCCCTTATAGCCATGCTTCAGACTCCCTAATAGGCTGAATAGCTCTAAGCCTGCTTCGAAGGCTTGCTCAGGCCTCTGACTTCCTCAGGGTGGTGTGCTAAAGGTATATGCCAGGGGTGTAGGCAGGACTTAGAAATGAGGAGGGGGAGGTAAGCAGTCTCATATACATATTCACCAGGCTTCTCAAGAAATGGCAGCCATATTGTAGGTCAGGGGCCAACTTTCCCTGCACTGCCATGTTCTACTTGAAACCCCATGAAGTCAGAGAATTCTAAAGTTAAACCTGCTCCGCCCAGTCCTTATGAAGTTGTCAAGATAAAAGAATAAAACATTTTAATAATTTGGTAGCTTGATTTACCTAGTTGTTCACTACATTGCCTAGAATCGTGCACATAATGGGTGTTCAGTATTTACTTGACGATTATAAATTCAAATATAATCTGTGTAACATTCTATGCTAGATGCTCGTATGGTGGATAGGTTTTAACTTGAATCCTGAAACCATTGCTACTCAACTACTTCTTACCTACAAGAGGAACAATTTAATGATTCAACAGAATTGGTTTACTTATTTATTTAAAAAAAAGATTTATTTATTTATACAAGCACTGGGTACAGTCAGAATTGCAGGAGGGTGAGAGAATTCACCAGAGCCAGAGCAGGGAGCAGAGCAGGCAGAAGGACCGAAGTACGCTGCTGAGGAGAGCAGCGGGCGGCAGAGGAGGTCTGCGCGCCATGCGGGACCCTCCTCCAGTGGCGGGGAGCAGCCGGGGATCGAACCGGTGCTGAGAGGCTGCGGGCAGCTTCGCAACCCAGTGCTCAACTGCTGTGCCACCGGGAGGCCCCCGAATTGTTTTTTTTTTAAAGCTCTCTAAAACACAATATTATGAAGCAAAGTAAACAGATACCATGAAAGACAGAAAGAGAATTTTTTTTCCTCATAGGAAAAATGGTATGAAAGTTGCCTTCAGGCCCTATTTTGAAGTTCTCTAGAGTCATCTATAACACTCCCAGACATTTCAAAAATTCAAAAAGCTAATTTTTTAGAGTATCATCATTCCCTTTTTTGCATTTAATATGAGTCCCATATAGACACGTGTCAATATGCAAAACATTTTAAGAACATTGACTATACTTCTCTTTAACAGTTAATCTGATTTCATGTAAATATTCAAATACCTAATTAGGTCCCATACTTTTTATCACGAGTAAAATAAATTCCAATTTTCAGAGACCATGTTAAAAAGTTAATTGGACATACTCCCTTTCTTGATAATATAACACACAGGACTAAAAAGTAATAATATGTAACCATTCCACATTACTTCTTCATTCTTAGAAACAGAAATAATATTAGTACATTTCTTTAAGCAGATTACTTCAAAAGGGGTCCTAAACATGTTTTTCTAAATGTTTAGATAGCTGGGATTCCTGAACAGTATATGAAAACCACATTTTAGTTAAGGTTTTACTAATGGCCTTTCCTTCTACATTTCCAAGGAAAATCCACACACAAAAATTTACCAATGTCCCTTTAAAAAAAAGATATAAATTTCAAAATATGGCCAAAGAAAACTGCTTTACATTTCTAGAAATACATTAGTTTCCAATTTTTGTACATTATCTTATCCATCCAGACTTTAAGATTACAGAATATTTTAAAAATTATAACTTTAATAATACACAAAGAATCTGAGTTTTATAACATTTTAATGTCAAAGTACAATTTACATGATTAAAAAGTTTTGATTTCCATGTCTATTTAAACAATTTAAGAAGCTAACAAAACATAGTTTCCAAGTCACATCAAGTAATTTTATCTCTCACATTTCCAATGACATGTTGATGGCCTAAACACTAGTCTGCCATGAATGACAACAAGCAAGAGTGGCACATGTCATCAGCAAGTTTCTTTGCAAGCTATCCAGTGTCACAAGTTCATATTTTTCTTGTTTGTGATCCCAAAACTGGTAGCGTTTTCATTTCATCCACTCTGTTCTTATGTATTTGAAAAGCAGGTGTTACCCATCTTCCGCAGGAACACTGTTCACCATACCAGTTGAAAGAACCCAACTTGGCATTGCATTTGGGACAAAGAAGCTGAAATAGAGAAAATATGTTACTTTATTCATTCACTATTATACAAAACAAATAATTATCTTTGCCAATATAGGATATAAAAACAGGTAAGACATGGCTCCCACCATCAAGGAATCTCTGATCTGTACCGTGAGATAAAATGCAATGCCACTACAGCTCTATTTACTACAGTTATAAACATTACTTGTGCTCAATCACAGATGAGTGGATTAAAAGGAGTTTTATTTATTCACTATGGACTACTACTCAGCTATAAAAAAGAATGAAATTCTGCCATTTGTGACAACATGAATGGAATTTGAGGGGACTATGCTAAGGGAAATAAGTTAGGAAACAGACAAATACCCAGTAATTTCACTCACAAATGGACCATCAAAAATCAAAACAAAGGATCAGACCAAACCAAACCAACAGCAAACCCTAGAAATCTGGACTGAGAACGAGGCTCTTAGAGGGCAAGAACAGGATTGAGAGCAAAGGGAAAAGGGGAGCGCAATGGACTACAGTGGAGGATTATGGGTGCTTTGTTGGTTTGGGTGGTCTTGTAATACATCTGAGGAGGTGTGAACCTGTGTTTCTTAATCATACACACTGATAAAAACCAATGTTACCACAATAAAAAATAAATAAATAAAATGTTATTAAATAAATTGTTACACTAGAAGGTAGACTATAGTTGTATAAGAAACATGTTTTATCCATGGAGTTTAGAGGAGGAACAAGGTAATGAGAGCACAAGAGAAGAAAGGTGAAGCTCAAGAGGTAAGTGAAAGGATTTTCAGATGTGCCTACGTACCAGCTTTCTAATCATTCTACCTTCAAGATTTCAAACTGAAATCATCATGGCTAAAGGACAGCAAAGCACGTTAAGATTTTCATGTCTCTAAAAATAAAATTTAAATTAAAAAAAAAAAAAAGAAAGAAAGAAAATCAGTATACTTGGAAAAAAAAAAACAAAAAAGATTTTCATGTCCCATTACTAACAGATACTGATACCAAATGTGAGGCCTCAAATTCCTCACTATTTAAAAATAGATACCAGTAAAACAAAGATAAAAAGAAGCCTAGGGGCCTCCCCAGTGGCGCAGCGGTTGAACACTGGGTTGTGAAGCTGCCCGCAGCCTCTGCAGCGCCGGTTCAATCCCCAGCTGCTCCCCGGCCACCAGAGGAGGGTCCCACGTGGCGCGCAGACCTCTCCTGCCGCCCGCTGCTCCCCTCAGCAGTGTGCTTCGGTCCTTCTGCCTGCTCTGCTCCCCACTCTGGCTCTGGTGAACTCACTCACCCTCCCGCGCTTCTGACTGTACCCAGTGCATGTATAAATAAATAAATAAATCTTAAAAAAAAAAAAAGCCTAGGAAGTCTACTGTATTTTCTTCTAATATATTTCTCCTAATTTACATCATTATCTTTTATGTTTATCTCTTTAATTTGAGCATGGTTCTTTTTTCATAACTCAATCCAACATTTACCAATAAGGAAAAAAAAAACAAAACAGAAAATGGGCCAAGGATATGAAAAATGTTTACAGAAAAATGACTGTAAATGACTGATAGCTATATGAAGATTTTGATCCTCAGAAGTAGATGATCTAATGAATCTGTAGAATAAAATGTGTTCTCACCTGTCCATCCATCACACCCAACAAAGCAGATTCCATCCACTGAACAGGTTCAATGAAATAGGACGTGCACTGACCCTGGCTCCCTGGGGTAAGCCTGAAAGATGACGTCACTCTCTTGTGAGCAAAGGCTATAGGACCACTTCCTTCATTATGATCCAAAATGCTAGAACTCCGATATAAAGATCGCCTGCAAGCCCCAAACAAACAAAAACATTAATGACATCCAAATGGATGAAAAAATAGATAGGATGTGCAATATTTCTTAGAGAGCAAGAAAATAAAACTGTGATTAGTTTAATATTTGATAACCTCCACAAGTAATCCTAAAGAATTTAAATTCTTTTTGAAAGCAGATTTAAATTTAAAATTTCTGTATTGGGCCTCCCCAGTGGCGCAGCAGTTGAGCGCTGGGCTGAGAAGCTGCCCGCAGCCTCTGCAGCCTCTGCAGCCTCTGCAGCACGGGTTCGATCCCCGGCCACCAGGCGAGGGTCCCACATGGCGCGCAGACCTCTCCTGCCGCCCGATGCTCCCCTCAGCAGTGTATTTCGTCAGTCTGCCTGCTCTGCTCTGCTCTGCTCTCCGCTCTTGCTCTGGTGAATTCTCTCACCCTCCCACGCTTCTGACTGTACCCAGTGCTTGTATAAATAAATAAAAAAAAAAAAAAAAAAAAAGGGTGTCAAAAAAAAAATTCTGTATTATTCAATTAAACAAAGCTCTTTCTACAGAGATTTAAGACAGTGAAGTTTTCACTATTCTTCAGCTATCCACACAAGATAAAGACTCCAGAGGAGATGTAGCACTTTACCTGCACTTTCTGCATTTGTAGAGAATCTCATCCTTTAGTCCTTGTGAAATGGTTGTTGGGTCAACAGCAAAAAGTTCTTGAGGTAAGTTCTGCAATTCTACATGACATAATGAAAACGTACCCATTTGTCAAAATAAACCCTTCTCATTTTCAAACAAAATTCAGTGAATGTCAAATAGTGGCAACAAGTGTTCTCAAAAAATTAAAAATACACCAATCAACACTAGTACTGAGTAATCAGGATGAGGCAGGTGAGCCTATGATGAAAGCCTGGGGTTCTGGGTACAGATGGCTTGAATCCAAATCCCAGTCCACCACTTACAAACCAGGTGGCCTTGAACAAGTTATTTCTTGCTAAACCATTTTCAGAAGGAAATAAGAGCACCTGTCTCAAAGGATTACCAGGAAAGTGAGGGAAAGCTCCTGAAGTTTTTAGTGTCAGAGTAAACACTCAAATACACTGGCAATTACATACCTGGATACTTCTCTGTAACCTTTTGTAAACGATATTGTTTATAAATTGCACTAGAGGTATCTACTTCATTTCCCATTGCCTGGTATAATTTCAGTTGCCACTCAAATCCCTCATTCATCCTGTAACAACAAATAAAAAGTTTTCTTTAAATAAATAAAATCACATGACAAAAGTACAAGTATTACTACGGCAGAGAACTCACTTAGCCTCTGGTTTGATAATCTGAAGGTTTTCATAGGCTCTTTCAAAGGTCAGTCCTTCAGTCTTCATCATAAAAGCAGTCACTACAGCCACACTTCGACTAAGTCCTGCATGACTGAAAAAGAGACCTTTAAAATAAAATGGCAAATAGCAACAATTAAAACAAAGAAACAAAAAACCCAGTCCCCAATTAAGGTACAGTTTGATCCACTTCTTGTTTGCTGCTTCTACTCAAATCCTTTGCCTCTTCAGTACTGCCAATGTACAAAAGAATTATTCTTTTATTTTCTATTCCTTTTAAATTCTGAACCATGTGAATGTATTACCTATTCAAAAATAACTACACTAGGGGGCCTCCCTGGTGGCGCAAAGGGTTAAGTCACAACCTATGAAGCTGTCCGCAGCCACTGCAGCACGGGTTCCATCCCTTGCCAGAGAGCTACCCACATGGCGCAGCAGACCTCGCCTGACTTGCTCCCCTCAGCAGTGTACTTCAGTCAGTCTGCCTGTTCTGTTTCCCACTCTGTCTCTGGTAAGTTTTCTCACCCCCTACACCTCTGGCCTATACCCCAGTTCTTGTATACATAAATAAATAAATCTTTAAAAAAAATAATTACAGTAGACTCTCTCCTACTCTCTGTTCAATAGACAGCTGCCTCTTTTCATGAGTGCCAGCCTGCATTCCTGAGACACCATGGTGAAGGTCAGAGCGAAGGGATTTGGCCTTATTCAGCACCTGGTCTCCAGGGCTGCTTTTAACTCTGGCAAAGTGGGTATTCTTGCCATCAGTGACTCCTCTCATTGACCTCAACTACATGGTCTACGTGTTCCAGTATGATTCCACCCACGGCAAGTTCCATGGCACAGTCAAGGGCGAGAAAGTAAAGCTCATCTCCATCTGCCAAGAGCAATATCCCACCAATATCAAATGGGGTGACACTGTTACTGAATAAGTTGTAGAGTTCACTGGTGCCTTCACTATCTTGGAGAAGGCTGGACTCATGGGAAAAGTGGGGCCAAAAGGGTCATCATTTCTGCACCTTCTGCTGATGCCCCCTTTTTTGTGATGGGCGTGAACTGTGAGAGGTGTGACAACTCCAAGATTGTCAACAATACCTCCTTTAGCACGAACTGTGTGGTACTGTTGGCCAATTCTGGCATCATGGAGGTAATCAAGACCACAATCCATGACATCACTGCCACCCAGAACACTGTGGATGGCCCCTCTGGGGAGCTGTGATCTGATGGTGATAGGGCTACCCAGAACATCACCCCTGCTTCTACTGGCACTGTAACAGGGTGGTCCCCAGGAAAGGGGGAGGTTCCAGATTCCCTGCCTCACCCAAATGGAGTGTGGAGCTGAGCAGGAAGAAAAGAGGCTGCAGAGGAGACTGAGGAAGGAAGGAAGCAGGATGGAGCCAGAAAGAGACCTGGAGGAGGCGCATGGAGCCTAGAGACACGTGAAGAAACTACGCTTGTCTTTTGGTCGTAGACTAGGTGACACAGATGTGGGTGAGACCCGTGGGGAGGTGACAAGGGCAGCTTTTATCTTGATGTTGATTTTGCTCTTTTCCTTCCGGACTTGTCTGGTTGTTTCTGACCCTTTTCTGTGGGTCCCCACTGGAAGATGCTTTAGACTTGTGGCAGGCTTTGGGGCCTTGCTCTGGGCCGATCCCATATGGATGGACTTTTACCTATGAGGGGATGGGTAACTTTGGGTGCTTCATTTAGAAACTAGACTCTTTGCCTTTCCTGTATTGTTTCCTAGTTTTATTAAAGTTCCTTCCCATTAAAGTCTCATATGTTTTGTGTTGATGCTGCGGATGGCAGAACCCATTTCGAATAGGCAGGTTTGCAGGGTTTGGGCTGCCCCTCTCCCTGTCCTGTAACAGCACCACCAAGGCTGTGGGCAAGATCACCCCTGAGCTGAATGGAAAACTCACTGGTATGGCCTTCCACATGGGCATCCCCAATTGACTTCTGAACAGTGGGTGGGGGAAGGTTTGTCAGGGGACGCTGACTTCCCCTTCCCCCAGTCAAAATTAGCTCCTAACTTATACCCAACCCAGTACATCAGATTCCAGCATTTGGGAATTCAACCAAGGGACAGGACATCGGGGTAGGTTGCATTCAGAAAGGAGGAAAACAGGATAGAAAAAAATCCAAAAATCCACCTATGTGTGGACCAAGATAGTTCAAACCTCTGTTGTTTATACTTCAAATGTATTATTACACTCCAGTGCAGCCAAACAGGACTGCTTAGGAATCCCTGAATACCCATCACAGTTTCCACCTTTTTGCCATTGCTACAACTTACCTCCATCATCTTTGCTCTGGGCATGGCTTAAGACTCTTTCAAGAACTAAACAACTAAGCTCTCCCCAGTTGTCCCCTTAATCAACCATACCCTGTGGCAAGCAAAAACACTGAAAAGAATCTGCTCTTCCTCTAAGTTTGAATAAACCTAACCTTTGCTCATCTCTCTTAGCAGACACCTCGCACCCACTATGCGTTGCAAACATCTGGGTTTGAGTGTGGCTTCCTCTAAAAGGGACAGGCCATCGGGGTAGGTTGCATTCAGAAAGGAGGGAAACAGGATAGAAAAAAATCCACCTATATGTGGACCAAGGTAGTTCAAACCCCTGTTGTTTATACTTCAAATGTATTATTACATTTGATGCTGGGACAGTGTCATTTATGAGATGACGCCCGCCGCCGCACTCCCTGTCCCCAAAACACAACTCCGATGGCAGCAAAACGAAGCGACCAAAATGTGAATGATTGAAAACACACAAAAGCCACCGCCCCCCGCCCACACACGCCGGCCTCCTGGGAGCGAGTGGAGGTGGTCCCGGCCGTCTGTCCGCCCCTCCGCCCTCCTCAGCGGCCTCGGAGGGAAGGGCGGCGGGGCAGGAGGCGTCCACTTACCAGTGCACCAACGCCGCGCGGCCCTCGGCACGAGCCTGGCCAAGGAAGGCCACGCACCGGTCCAGGTGGCTGAGCAGGTCGGTTTCGGGTCTGTCCAGCGCGGGCACGAAGAGCCTCAGAAGACCTTGGACGCCAGCCCCCGCCCCCAGGTCTGGCGGCTCGGAGTCCACCGTCAGCACCGCAGTGATCCCCGCCTGCAGCAAGCCGTCTGGATCCGCGATGGCCGCGGCTCCGCCCAGGTACAGCCCCGGCCGCACTTCCAGCATCGGCCCGGAGGAACTGGTCTCGCTCGCGCCCACACTCCCGCGCTCGCAGCCTTGGTGGGCGACCCGAGCCTCCAACATGGCGGCGCCCAGCGGCCAGGCGCCGGGCCGTACCATCGAGTCGCTAACGGCTAGAACGTCCTTCCGCTGGGCCCCCGGCCGGCCTGAGCGCGCCGCCGCTCTCTCGGAGGACCAAGTCCAGGCGCTAATGGGGATTACGGGACAATTGATGGAGAGCTCCAGAGGCGAAACCCCATTCAGAGGGCATACTTTACACCGCGTCCCCCTTCCCCTCACCGCCCTCGGCCTCCTCGAACTTGGTAGAAGATAAACTTCCCCAAATACAGGGTTGCCAGGCTCTTAGTGTTGAGACTTTCCGGAAAGGAGCTGCAAGGACAGCTGGACTCGAATTTGGGTGATGGCACCACCAACTGAATCAGCAACGTCATTTTATGGATTTGAAGTAAAGCTTTTTTTCTAGTGCTTATAAAGTCTTGTGACTGAATTTCTTGTGACTGCTTTTCCTTTTTGCCTAGTTTTTTGTTTCTTTGGTTTGGGTATGAGAATTCTTTTGTTGATCTATACTGTGCTATATCACTTGAAGATTTAATACCATGTTTTTGTACATCTATGCCCTCCAGCCAAAGAACAACAGAAGCACACCTGTACTTAAACAACTCGGGTTGTTTAAGTACTTAAACAACTCAACCACGAACTGTGGAAAATTTCCAGACATCGCAGAGGGTTTTGGGACGACCCTATTTGGCTTGTATTCAGTAATTTTGAACAAAGTCCGAGGAAGGAGGCCCTGCTTTATGGGGATGCAGCAGAAAGTAGGTATGATTCAGTGATGGGGTAGTTTAATAAATTTTTCCTTTAGGGAGGGAAGTCCTATAGTTGGACAAGAAGTAGCAGTCATGGTAGAGGCATTAAGACTGACACATGGACTCATGAAGAAAGGAGAACCCATAATAAACCCTCACCCGTGTGCTCAAATGATCTTCAACAAGGGTCCCATGACCATATACTGGAGAAAGAATAGTCTCTTCATATGGTGCTGGGAATACTGGATATACACATGCAAAAGAATGAAACTGGATTCTTACCAGGAAAGTCTTGCAACCTATGCATCAGATAATAAGCATACACACCTTGGACCTGGCTGTGGACCCCACAGTGAAGGTATTGTTAAAATCTCCACATTACTCAAAACCAGCAATAGATTCAATGTAATCCCTATCAAAATTCCAATGACATTTTTCAGAGAAATAGAAAAAGAAATTCTAAAATTTGCATAAGCCACAAAAAAAAAATCCTGACTAGAGAAAAATAAAGCTGGAGGCATCACACTTCCTCATTTCAAACTACCCCACAGAGCTACAGCAATCAAAACATAAAAATAGATACATAGATCAATGGAACTAAATTGAGAGCCCAGAAATAAATCCACACATAAGTAGTTAACTAATATTTGACATGGACACCAAGAATATTCAATAGAGAAAAGACAATATTTTAAACAAATGGTGTTGGGAAAATGGGATAACTATGTGCAAAAGAATAAAGCTGAACTACTATTAGACCAGTCATGTAAATTAACTCAAAAAGTACTAAAGGCTTAAACATAAGTCCCTAAACCATAAAACTCCTAAGAGAAAACAAAGTGGGGAAAACTTGACATTGTTATTGATCATTTTGAATATAACACTAAAAGCACAAGCAACAAGAAAAATGGCAATATATTAAACTAAAAAGTTTGTGCACAGCAAAAGAAACAATCAGCAAAATGAAAAGGTAAACTAAGGAATGGGAAAAATAATTGTAAATTGTTCATCTGATAAGGGGTTAGTATTCAAACTGCTTCAACATTTTCCTTTCTTTAATTATTTATTTATTTATGGATACAAGAAATGCCAGAGGTACGTAGGTCAGAGGTATGAGGAGGAGGAGGGTGAGAGGATTCACCAGAGACAGAGTGGGGAGCAGAACAGGCAGACTGACTGAAACACACTGCTGAGGGGAGCAGCGGGCAAGACAAGAGAGGTCTGCTGTGCCATATGGGTTTCTCCCTGGCCGGGGATCGAACTCATGCTGCAGAGGCTGCCACCAGGGAGGCCCAAGAACTTGTCTTTCAAAAAGAAAAGAAAGATGGGACCATAGCGAAAGGAAAAGGAAAATGGAGAGTTGAGGGTGGTATTTACTCTTTGTTTAATAGGAAAGACTTGAGGGTGTGTGTGTTTGTATGTGTTTTTTTTTTTAAGTACATACCTTTTTGATACCCTTTTATGTAGTTTGATTAAATAATCTATGAATATAAAAGCATTTTGTGCACCACTATGGTCCATATAAATACTGGTCAGAATCAGCTATGGGAAGCACTCCAAGTCACACTGTGAGATTTATAGGCCTAAATATTTATGTTTCATTAAATGGTGGCACTTTACATACTCAAGGACTTGAGTGTGTATGTTTTAAGTTACAAAGAAGTATTAGAAGAGAGGGAGGAGTCGAAGACACAGGAGAAAGAAGGAAGAATTCTTAAATGAATTGGGGATGTGTGTGACCCAGACCCTGGTGGAGGGTAGCCTTTTCTATCTTAAGCTGAGGAAGGAAAAGAGCAAAGAATGTGTGGGATGCAAGGGGCCAGAAATTAAAAGCATTCTTCTCTGACAATTCTGATTTTCTGGGTGAAGAACTCAATTTGTCTGCTGAGAGTGAGGACAAAAGTTTGTTTACTGAAGAAAGTAAACAATATACATGGAGGGCCTCCCTGGTGGCACAGGGGTTAAAGACAGCACTATCAAGATATCACCAGTTGGGCCTCTCCAGTGGCGCAGTGGTTGAGCGCTGGGTTGCGAAGCTGCCCGCAGCCTCTGCAGCGACGGTTCGATCCCCGGCTGCTCCCCGGCCACCGGAGGAGGGTCCCACATGGTGCGCAGACCTCACCTGCCGCCCGCTGCTCCCCTCAGCAGTGTACTTCGGTCCTTCTGCCTGCTCTGCTCCCCGCTCTGGCTCTGGTGAATTCTCTCACCCTCCCGCGCTTCTGACTGTACCCAGTGCTTGTATAAATAAATAAATAAATAAATTAAAAAAAAAAAAAAAAAAGATATCACCAGCCACTGTAGCACAAGTTCGATCCCTGGCTGGCCAGGGAGCAACCCACATAGCGCAGCAGACCTCTCCTGCCTCTCCCGCTGCTCCCCTCAGCAGTGTATTTCAGTCGATCTGCCTTCTGCTCCCTACTCTGTCTCTGGTGAATCCTCTCACCCCCACACCTCTGGCTTATACCCCAGTTCTTATAGCATAAATAAATAAATCTTAAAAAAAAAAAATATATATATATATGGAAATAGATTTAAGGGATCGGGCAACACAGATCCCAGTCAAGCTAATCAGTATTCTGATCAGAAGGAGAAAAAGCTTCTGGGAGGTGGGGCTCAAGTTTTACAGATTGCTCAAGTGCTGCACTTTTCCAAAGCAAAAGCCTGACTTCAGACGGACTCCTTCTTGACCAGCTCTTGGGAGATGACCTCTCAGCCCTTGGAATGTCCGGCCTCGTGAGTGTCGTTTTGAGTGTGTGAGGCCTAGGGCCAGGCTGTCTCAACTTGACCTCTGAGCAGTTGGAGCCTGAGTATTCTCAGTCAGCCATGCCTATGTGAGTGGCCCCTGGTGAGAAGTGTGGACACCCAGCCTGGGTGTGTAACAGGGTAGTCCCCAGGGAAAGGGGAGTTTCTAGGTTCCCAAGTGAAGGTGGAGCTGAATAGGGAGGAGAAAACTAGAGAAGACTGGGAGAAGGAAGGAAGGAGATCAAGAAGACTAGAGGGGCCTCCCTGGTGGCACAGGGGGTTAAGACACAACCTATGAAGCTGTCAGCAGCCTCTGCAGCATGAGTTCAATCCCCTGGCCGGCCAGGGAGCTATCCACATGGCATAGCAGACCACTCCTGTTTCTCCTGCTGCTCCTCTTAGCAGAGTACTTCGGTCAACCTGCCTGTTCTGTTCCCACTCCGTCTCTGGTGAATCCTCTCAACCCCCCCCCCCCACATCTCTGGCCTGTACCCCAGCTCTTGTATGCATAAATAAATCTTTAAAAAAAAAAAAGAAGACTGGAGGAGACACATGGAGCAGAGAGAGAGAGACACGTGAAGGAGAAGTTGCACTTGTTTGGACTTGTACCAGATGCTTGGTGGACGTGGATGGAGACACTTGAAAGAGAGAGAAACATGGGCGAGAGACCTGGGGGAAGGCTGACAATGGCAACCTTTACATTGACGTTTCTTTTGCTTTTGCTCTTTTCCTTCCAGACTTGCCCAGCCCCTTCCACCCCTCTCCTATGGGTCCCCACCAGCAGGTGCCTTAGGCTTGTGGAAAGCTTTCAGACCTCAGTGGCCCTGCTCTGGGTCAACCCTGTTTGGCTGGGCATTTACCCAGAAGGGCATGGATAGCTTTGGGTGTTTTATGGGAAAACTATTTTAACTATATTTTTCTCTTCTCTTCATGGCACACTGACTGTATAAAAGTTCTTTTCTATTGAAGGCTTTATGCACTAAAGCATGTTTTGCCTTGATGTAGCAGACAGCAGAACCCATTTAGAGCAGGCAGGTTTGGGAGGGGTCTTGGGTTGCCCCTCATTCTGCCCACTAAAAGGTGCAAGCCCTCTTTGGAGTCACTTCACACACATGGTCACATATCTTTGCTGGGAGAATCAAATGTGCCCCGTGTGACCTACTAGAAGGGAATACCTGAGAACTTACCCCTGTTTTTCACCTGACCTCACTTGCACCTTTTTCTTCTCCTGATGCTAAACTGTACCCTTTGCTGTAATAACCCATAACTTTGTATAATGGCTCTTCTGAGTTCTGTAGACCTTTTTGGTGAATCAGCAATCTGGCAGAGTCTGAGAGGGGCTTGGTGAGCTCCATACAGCGTCCATTGTCTAGAATAGTGGAACTGGAACCATCTAAATGACAAGTCATGAACTGGTTATCCACTCAATGCAATAGTAGGCAACTATTTGAAAAGATAACAAAGGAAGTGGTCCATGCTAGCAATATTATAAAGTTCTTTTTTTGTTGTTTCTTAAAGTGGTGGTATTTCT